ACGCACCGCATGCACGGACCGCCCTCACAGGTCTCCGGCAGCCGCGGCCCACCGCCAAGCCTGCACGACAACTACGCAAAAACAAGGCAAGGGACAAAGACAAAAGAAACTGTACGAGTGCGGCAGCAACAGCCCGAATGCGCCAACGGGAAACCAACACACTGCGATGCCAAGAGAGTGAGAAAGACACGCCACACGCCACGCACGCACAGTGGCAGCTACAGATCTGTTCAAGGAGCTGCCACAACAGCGTACGTATGTGGAAAACACAAAAATTAAAAAAAAAAATCCTGCGACAGCGCGCCCAACACATCTTGATGCAATCCACGTTTTTCTTATTAATCATTTAAAATTAAAATGGAATCCACACAGCGTTTTGTTTTCTTGATTCTTGTTCAAGTCCTTAGAAGTTACCGTCCCTTAGAATGGTCGGCGTTATGACGACGTCTAGGAAAGACAAATGGTGGCCCGGTCCCCCGCACTGCCGCGGCCCGCAAAGCGTGCAAACACGCTACAGCTTGGAGCGCTTCTTCTCAGCGGCGCGGACAACGGAGTGGCCCTCGCCGGCCGGCCTCTCCTCCCCAGTCAGGAAGCGCCTCATACGCTCCTCCACGCACACGCCCGCATTCCCCAGCGCCTCCGACACGGGGAAGTGGTGTGGGGTGAGAGCCAGCAGGTGCACGCATGGGACGGCGGCGGCGAGCGCGCTAGCGTCGCCGTGCTCCTTCTGCTTACGCATGTGGTCGAGCAGCACACGCTGCACCTCCTCCTCGTCCCGGTAGGACGTTCGGCCACAAATCACCAGGACATCCCCCAGCAGCTTCTGGCCAGCGCCGCGGCGGCGCATGTTCTCCACCACCACCATCTGCAGCAGCCTGCCAAGCGTCTTGTTGAAGCGGATGGTCTGCTCGTCAAAGGAACCCTCGCCGGTGATCATGCAGTCGCAGCGCTGCAGCTTCGCCGGAAGACCCAGGAGCTCCGCAACAACGTCGGCGCCGGACATCCACTTCGCGCCCGCGACGTAGCGGAAGAGGCCGCTCATGCCGCCGGCGCCGCCACCGCCGTGGGTGTGGCGAAGAGCATCGAGGCGTCGCTTCACCTGCTCCTCGCTGGCACGCTTCCCGTGCAGGTCGCTCCGCGCAACCGCAGCGGAGGCGCTCAGCATGCCACGCTCCAGCCGAGCCAGCACCGACTCCCGGTGCGCCTTGTCCCACGTGGAGGAGCACTTCTGCGGGCCAAAAATCGCCGTGGCGCCGTCCGGGCCAACCAGCGGGCTGGCCACGTCACCGATCAGGCGCACCTCCTTGCAGTACGGCTCCTTCCTGCTGCCCTCCGCGGCGCACAAGAACATCTTCTGGAACGCCCGTGTGGGGCGCACACCCACGAGGCGCTCCAAGTCGCCACCCACAAACGGTGTCTTCAATGGCTGAGCTCCACCAACCTTGCTGTCCACGAGCATCTCCACACCGAGAGCCTGCAGCGCGCCAAGCCCGCCGTCGTTCGTGGCACTGCCGCCAATGCCGAGAAACACCGTCACGCCGCCGTCAGCATCGCGGCCGTGCATGCGGTGCTGCTCACTCGCCACATACTCCACGGCGTACTTGATGAGCTGGCCCACGCCATAGCTCGTCGTGCGAAGCGGGTTCCGCTTCTCCTCCGGCACCATCGGCAGGCCCGAGGCAATGGCCATCTCCACCACAACCACGCGGTTCGCCACGTCGCACGCAAAGTACGGTCGGTAGGTGCTGCCGCTGCAGTTCAACGGCTCGCCCAACGGGCCAACAACAAGCGGCGGCTGCGGCTGCCCGGCGGTGCCAGTGGTACCAACAGTTGGCACCTCCACCTTGCTGAAGGTGTACGGCGACGACAGCTGCGAGTGGTCCGGGAAGAGCAGGCTGTCCAGCAGGCCGGCGCCACCGTCGGACATGGGGCAGTGCACAACATCCGCCCGGGCAGAACCGCCCTTCTCGACACCGCGGAACGCCCGCTCAATGGCAAGGCCGGCGTCGCACGCGGTGAGCGTCCCCTTAAAGGAGTCACAGCATGCCAGCACGCGCTCCCACGAATACTGCGTCGTCGAAGAAGGCATTTGAATTAATTATCGAATGAGTACTCACCTCGGATTTACTGGCTGTTCTTGCTCTCTGGGTTGTCATTCGCCGTCGCCGCCAGCACGTCAAGAGGGCAGGAAGAGAAGGCAAAGAGGAGAATCGGCGCAGGAGGAGGGCAAGGCAATGACAGACACACGCGTCAAGGTGTGGTGGAAGCTGCATACCGGGAGACACACGCCCGCGGAGCACAAGCATAGAGAAGGCGAGGGAAGCAGAGACAAACAGAAATCGTGGAGAGGCAGCATGCAGGGAGACGCGCGGGGGGAGACGCGCGGGGGA